TTAGTTCTCTACGATACCAATGATCATTGGTTATTTAAACAGATTATGAAATTTTGCTATTGCCTATCCCTGTCCATTCCCTCTATGCTTGTATCTTTGATGAGTCCAACGATTCGTCGTAAAACTGTTTTTAAACAATTTTAATAAGCCTCATTGTTCCATAAAAGTATGGATTTAGTCGAATTTGCGCAGTGTTTTTTCTTAAATGTATTTATTTATACATTTCTTCTTCATTTTGTGTTCACTTTCTAATTTACGCCGACAGACAAGTTCGTGTGATAAACCTAACAGTTTTCAAAAGTTCCTCTTTAGCTCCATACAACTTTGAGTGCAGCGTTGACTCACTGGGTCAGTATTTCTTTCTGAATGGGCTGTACAAGGGACATTTTCTCGCTAGGGAGTGAGGGCGGGAGGGGTGCTGGTTGAACGTGACGATTTGTTTCATTGCAAAACAAGTCAAGTCAACAGTAAAGGTAAATATTCTTTTTTTTTTTAATAAGCCCTACTGTTAGTTATGGGAGTGTGGCGCGGTAATTTATATCACAGGCGTGAGGGAAAGTTAAGTCCAACATGATGTGTATAAGGAGATACTCCGTACGTCACTCGGGCGCCAGTCCTTCACTGTTCTGGTTGTACGGAACCTCACGCAAGACCCCTGCAGCACGTCCTCGTCGTGCGCCACGGATAATGTCTCAAATGAGCATTAACAGAGCTGTCAGTGGATCTCGGAGTTTGTCCTTGTGGCTCTCATCAGCCCGCCCCCAAACGCATGGGTGAAAAAGGTTATCAAAACTCATTAGGAACACGAGTAAAGTGCTTGCCGAATGTACAACTAAAATTACAACCCTTGGTTAAAAGATTGGGGAGTGAAGAGAACATGGTTCTGCTGAGACTCAACCCTTGACCTAGAGATTTACCCGCAGCACAGACGAGTAAAATCTCTACCCATGTACATCCTCTGTTAACCCTCAGTGTCGTTGTCACCGCGCTGAGGTACATCAAGACAGCAACCATCCATCTGCTGGCTAAGCCTAAATGTCCAACAAAACTAGAACCTACGTCACACGAGTAAGCTCAAAATCTGACCATCACAAATCGTATTGAACGGAAAAAGTCCAAATGTCCACACCAAAAGACCCCACTCGCCCTAGTTCTGGGACCAAACAGATAACGATATGCCTAAAGCAGGACGTTGAATTTTGTCGGGCTAACGGCTCGTCAAAGATACCTAACGTGCGAAGAAAAAAGAATGTACCTATTTGGGTGGTCACAAAAGTCCAGAATTCTCGGGCTGCTCCCCGCTGACTTCCGGAGGGCGCAGCCCTTGTCGAGCGGGAGACCTAATACGGTTGTGAGGTCAAGCAGGCATGTGCAGGATGTGACGATTACTTGGGTGAGCCCAGAACCAGAGCGCCATGTGCGGGCTCTGCAACATTGGAAGCCTCCTTGGATGGCGGGGAATGCCCATGATCTGCCCCTGCCTTCCCTTGAGGGCCAACCGTTCCACAGGGGGCTGCCCCAAAGGGGTACTCCGGGGGGCAATACCTGCGGAGAAGGCGACAAAGTGGACACCACACAAATCAGGCAACGTCTCGACCCACACAAAACAATGGCCACAGTCAACATAGAAATAGGCCTGACGTCTTCCCTCGAAGTCGGAGTACATCTTCCCATGAGGCAGGGAACAACAAAACGGTTGTACACGCAAAAACATAGGTCTAGGTAAAAGCCAAAAGTCCAAGCTGACGATTAACCGGGATTTTCCGCTGGAATTCACAGTATATTTACAGAGGATGGAAGAATGGACAGAGAGATAGAAACAAGAATACAGAAAGCAAATGCTGTCACATACCAACTATCACCTCTGCTTAAACATCCAGATATAACCATGAAGACCAAAAGACAATTGATAAACACCATCTTCATTCCAACACTCTGCTACCAGTGCCAAACATGGACAATCAACAAGACCCATGAAAGAAAAATAGAAGCCTGTGAAATGAAATGTCTAAGAAAAGCTGCGAACAAGACCAGACTAGACAGGATAAAGAATATAGACATTAGAAACACTGTCAAAACTACGCCATGTTTAGACTACATAGAACATCAAAGAATGAAATGGTTTGGACATCTAACCAGGATGAAAAATGATCAAATAACATCACAAATTTTCAACCAAAGAAGCTCAGGATATAAGGCAAGAGGAAGACCAAGGAAACGGTGGATTGACGGGGTCTCCGAAACCTGCCAAAAGCATGGCCTCAGAACATCAGATGCTGCCCGCCTTGCTTATGACAGGAACTTGCATCTCCCCACAACGCTTAGCGGCATACGTGGAAGGAAAAACTAAACTAAACTAAACTATTCACAGCCGGTGAACGAAGAAGAAGTTATGGGAGTCACCGTGGCAGAGCGACTAGACAGGCGCCGCTGATCGGAAGGTCGTGGGTTCGCTCCCTGGCGGAGCCGGACTTTTCTTAAAAAAATGACCTTGGCTCCCAGGTCGACCCATCCTTGAGAGAGTACCGGGTGCAGTCCCGGGAAAAAGAGGCGGCCGGCGCGATGATGACCCCATCACCCATCTTGTGCCGTTTGTCTATAAAATTTAGGTCTAGCCCTATATGCCCAAAGGCGTGGAAAAGGGTCCTTTACTTTACTACTGGTAGTTATGGTCACATGTTCCGATCAACATCAAGGCAGGGATTGTTTTCCCCAGTACAAAACAAATATCACTCAAACACAGATCCGAAGAAGCTGAGCTTAAAATAAAAACAGATAGGTCAGACAGAGCTTAACAATTACAATTACGACAGAGAGCGGCAGTTACTGCCTCCACCTCCATTTTCATACCAGTTGTGTCGTATGCTAGGCTGACTTGCACTAAAGATTTTCCACTGGCTTTCGCCGCCAACTCCCAGGCACTTCTTGTTCCTTTCAACACCGAACCCTTTCTGCAGTCCAACATCTTATCACTCAAGAACGCAGCGGGCACAACATTTTTATACTTAGTGACTCATTGTCTGTTCTCCAAGCACTGTCAAGTAAAAAACAAGACAAACTAATTGCAGATCTAAGGACCAACATTGGCTTACTCTCCAAGGAAGTAGAACTGGTCTTTCAGTGGATACCAGCCCACTGTGGTATTCAAGGAAATGAGAGAGCAGATGAGTTGGCAAAAGCTGGGAGTAATCTTCCACAACCTCATCCACCACACAGCTACAAGGAAACCAAAACAGCGCTAAAGCAGTCTTTCAAGCGGGAGTGGAGAAGGCAGAATAGAGATTACAGACCAGAGAGTGACAGCATAAACAAACTCAACAGGAAAGAACAAACATCAATTTTTAGACTTCGGACAGGACACTGTGGTCTTCGAGCACACCTGTACAGGATGGGCATAAAAGAATCTGCTGCCTGTGATTGTGGAGCAGAAAGACAGACCCCAGAGCACATACTGCAGTACTGCCCTAACCTCTCCCAGCAAAGACTGTGGATCTAGCTTAACGGGAGCCACATTGCAAGAGAAGCTATGGGGGACCGGTGGCGACCTTAAACGCACAATTCTATTTGTGACCCAGACGGGACTCAATGTTTAACATGACTGATGTCGAACGCAGAAGAAGAACACCGAACAATCTACTGTAGTTCTACTGGTATCTATTGTCAAATGTTCCGACCAACATCAAGGCAAGGATTATTTTTCCTAGTTCAACTATAGTTCGTACGATGATCCATAATTTAAAAAAAAAATTTTAAAAACTGGTGCCGAGAAATGTGCGTGAAACAAAAATTGACAACATCGCCTGTCGACAACTGAATGTTGTTAAAACAAAATATTGCTTTACCACAGCGGTTCTCAAGCTGTGGATCGTGATCCTTTTTTTGTGTGTGTGGGTCAAATGACCCTTTCCCAAATGTCGTAAGGACCATCGCAAAACACATATTCATTGAAGTTATGAAGTAGTTAGAAGGAAAATATGTGTATTGTTGGGAATGGCCACAACATTAAGAACTGTATTAAAGGGTAGCGGCATTCGGAAGGTTGTGAGCCACTGATCTACCAGGTTCTATTTGCATGCAGTGGTACGCAGTATTGGCACCTTTTTATACATAATTGGTTTGTAGCGCTACTCTAATAGACACTTTATGGTTTTGTCTGTTTGATCTCCTTTTTTTTAGACCCGTGTGGTCAGTGCCGGTACCTTTATTTCGAGAAAAAAGACCAAAATATACCCATGCGTCAGAAAGTATGTATAGTCCTCTACTGTTTCTTTCCCTACTGACATACAGGAAATAAGGTTATGTTATGTTATCACAATAGACATCTTTGCACATTTGACATTCCAATGCTTGCTCAGTCCGTCGATGCAGCAGCCGCACAAAGATACCTCTACTGAATGTTCCCCATGAGAAGTTGGTTAAAGTATCTTCTGTCTCTACCTCGAAGATGACATCGGCAGGCTTCCCGAAGCTCAATTTCCTAGTCACGCAATCGTGTTAGCGTCAGCGATTCAACATTATCCACAAACCTAGTCCCTTCAGCATTAATGATAGCTCTGTCCACGCGTCTTCCTCGGATTTCGAAGGAAGACCAAATTAGTTGACTCTTACGACATGCTTTTGGGTATATTCTTGTTTACTCCACTATGGGGCCACGGAACCCACACGGGGAACAGGACATATTGAATACCATTAAGTTAGTCCCCTACCCATCCCGCCAGTGATGTGCCAAGAGTTCAAGATGATTGTAGCAGTAACTTATTTTCTGGCAGTGTGCAGTACCGGCACTTTTTAAAGGCATAACTGTCTTAGCTTTCCTATAATAGACACAACGGTGACTTTCTAAGACACTTGAGTTTCGAAACATAACAATAATATTTCATATTAAATATAATAGTTATAATATAACATTACTTTCGCTGTACGAAACTTATTTACTGCCAATATTGTGAGTACACAGCATACAAGATCCCAATCAAGACAACAGCGAGATCACGAATTACCTGTGTGAGTTCTCAGATGTGCCTGTAAGGACTTTTCCCTTGGAAACACACGACCACATTTATTACACCGTATCCGTGAACGAGAGCTAGAACCCTCAACCATTAAAGCCGTTAATAAATCAGCTCGCGGCCGTCCTCGTTTGCCTTGATCAGTAGCTATCCTCCTATTGTAATTGGGTATGTTATTGTTTTGACGTTCACTTAAATTCCGCGTCCTTGTCGGCAGTTCCAACTCTGGAAATTTAGTTGGAAGTAAAGATTTATGCGGACTTAAATCCAAAGGATGCATTCTAAAAATCGTACAGCACCCCCACTGACCATTTAAGTTGTGCTACTGAGACCCGTCAGTGAAGTCCGTATTAAAACACTCCGCGTTTGAACATGCTTCTAGATTTTTTCCCTTAGTCCTCGGATCGTGTCCATGCCTGTATGAAATAATTAGTATACATATATATATATCCCCGCTAAAAATAGATCTGGAAAACACCCTTTGCTTGGCCTCTTTCGGTTTTGTGTTTATGTTTTATTTTAATAAGAAATATGTTTATAAATTGCCTCAAAAAGTATAATTACAAAGTAGATTTTCTGAATGGTTTTCCTAAATTTTTACAGTTGTTATGTGTGCAGTAAAATAGTAGTTACTTCTTATTTCACGAAAGAAAATTTTCTTTTTTTCCGCAGGTTCCAAATTTGGTCAAATTCCAAATTTGGTCTAACCTTCGTATCGGAAGTCCGGGATAAAACTTTTACTCTACATGCGCTGCTGTTGTGCGCGTAAATTGCCATCTTGAAGCTGAAGCTGCTTGAGGAAAAAAGGCCGACGGGTCCCAATCTAATAACATCCTCTCTGTATTAGAGGAAAATGGACCACCAGTACGGCATAGCGGTTACTAATAAATTTTCTCTTTTCATCGACGAAGATGAAGATCCATTAGAGATCTTATCTAGGCAAGAAGAGTTAGCAAAGACGAAGAAGAAGGATGAAGGAGAGAAGAAGTCTGTAAAGCCATCAAAACAGAAAAAGAATGCTATTGCTGACACCAAGGCAAAGGTTGTCGAGCAACCAGCATTTAAAAAAGATGGTGAGTGAATTATTATATTTGCATAGCTAAAATTTGACATTGATAATGTGAAAGTCATGTGGCACACGACTTTTATCTGCCTGACTGAAATGTTGAAGCAGAACGTGGTCACCATGTGTTCATGACAGAAGACGCGTGCGAAATGTCAAGTAATAATGGCAATCACTGTATTCCAAGTTCTAGCAGTTCAGTGTCTGCCTCATTACTGTAGTACTAAAGACAAGATCATTGTAAAAATAGTCAAAATGTTATGTTACTCGTCAGATGTGTAGGTTTCCCTTCTCCTTTCTGATCACTTTAGTAGTGTAGAATTTTGAAACAGGGTAGGTAACCATTTCCCTCTGTTACTACAACTGGTTTTGAACTGATTTGTATTTTGTAGATAAAAGGTGCAGACGCTGGTGAATGAATAGTGATAAAAAAGGATTATCATCACAGCACTCCGGACAGATCCATAGGTGCACCGATCTCCTCAAAACCCAACAAGTGTGTTCTGTGTTGGTTAATGAAAAGGGTTGTCTCCTTAGTTCATTTCTTGCAGCTCCAGGCTGCACCCTCATGTCTGCTAGTCTAGACTGGGATACAGTGTCATATCCTTTGGCATGCTCCTCAGTTCTGGACCAGCCATATCAACCGCAGTGTCAGCAAGATAAATGGCTGTCTCCGAACTTCTACCCCCGCATTATGCCGGCCTAAAATATATGTTCGGGGCTCAGTCCAATGAAAACTGCGGACATTCTGCCAAGGAACAAATCGCGGCAAAACTAGGATTACTTGACAATTTCAAGAGACGCAACATTGCAGGCGATAGTAGCAGACGATGAAAGCGACCGTTGACAATTTCAAGACATTACAGACGATGAATGCGACATGACGGGTAGACTACGTGCTCCCACGCAGAATAGCAATACTGTTCTTCCGATTGAGGATTTAGCAGCGTTAGATGTCAGACTTGTCGGCATGTGCAAAACGCGATTAAACTCACCGCCGAATGTATCCCCGCGCGGCACTGATGCTGGGCCAATCTAAGTGCCTGGGACTCACAAGCAAAGTAATTGGAGAAAGTTGCAGGGGATGCAGTAGCTGCTGCTCGTGAGTCCCAGCCATCTAGTTTAGCCCCTATCCGTGTCGTGCGTAGCGATGCGGTGAGGCATAATCACAGAAACAGGTATGTAAGTAACATATCGCTGAAACCCTGTTCGAGCATTTGTTTCGTTTTTCCGAGCCGATCCTAGATTTGCTGCAATTTGTTCGTCAATAGAAAGTCCGACAATGGAAAGTGTCAACGGTCGCTATTGTCGTCTGCTACTATCGTCTGCAGTGTTGCGTCTCTTAGAATTGTCAGGTAATCAGAAACGATAAGAAACGGGTCCGCAAGTAACATATTGCTGAGACCCTGTTAGAGCATTTGTTTCGTTTTACGGAGCCTTCATATTTTTAATAGAACCGAGCCCTGGACAGATATTTCATAATGCCGTAATGCGGGGGTAGAAGTTTGGAGGAGAGCCGATAGATTGCATGCTCGTTTCCTTGAACACCCTCAAAACCTGGCACAAAGAAGGTTAGAGTTAGGGCAGCTGTTTTAAATTGCTTAGTGTTGCAATCTATTCTTGCCTGATAAATCTAGCTTTGATTTCAAGCATATTCATTGAGTCACTAAGACTGGCTAATAATTGTCATTTTTCAGTTTTATTCTCTAACAGTTGAAATTTGTGTATCTTATATTGTTTAGAGTTGTCTGCCACTGTGTAGCAATTGCAGGTGGCATATTTTTCTGTTAGGGGCAAAATTTAACATGCAGTCCATGATGACAGCACATGCTGTGTGACCCCAAACCCTCAGGCTCACGTTCCCTTAAAAGTGTCAATACTTAGCCTGTCTAAATGTAACCTTTACTGCAGTCGAGGCAAAAAAATACTTGCTCTGTTCCTGGCCAGCAAAAATGTCCCTCACTGTCCATATTAAAAAAACTGGGCTATTCTCTGAATAATGGTCACAAATTGAGGCTAAGAAAATATTCCATAACAGGGCCCCAGTCACATGTAAACTGCGGACTCAAGTGACTTAATTCCTGTGTGCTTGGGTCAACTTCTCCCGTGAGTCCTAGGTTTAACTCTGAGGTTTTGGGCAATGAGTATTGCAATTATGACACCACCACCAAGAGCTGTCACAACAGTGGAACTTGACACTATTGATTGAAGGGTTATGGATTGAACTTACACGGACGCGGCATTACCACTGCGGCACTAGTCACGCATTTACTAAAAATTTAGCGCAGTCACAAGCATCCCGTTAGGGTATTTTCTTAGCCGTGAAAATTTGGGACTGTTTTTCGAAGAATAGCTTAAAACTGAATATTCATTTAGGCGCTTGACAAAGTCAAGAAAGATGCGTATGCAATAAATGCATATGGCAGTTTTAGAGGGACAGTGTTAAGTCGCCACCAGATATGTTTTTGTTGTTGACAGTTGAACAAGATAAGTTGGCTATACACCTAAAACTGTATTACATTAGGTATTTCACCGGCTACTGGTCATATTGAATACCATGACTCAACTGCTGCATAGATAAAAGGCATTCCACATGGAAAATGCTCAGTGCTGCATTTAGCACTAAACAGACAGCGAAACCATACTTACCTTCAATATGTTGAAACTCCATAAGCAAAAACTTTAAAGCTAAACATCCTGCCATGCCTAGTCCTTCAATTGGACACGAAGAAAAGGAGTGGTAAATATAGACAGTAGTGACAGTTTGAGTGTCTGGTCCTTTGTACGGTAATGATTACTTTGTGTAAATATATCCTAATTCAGTCACTGGCTTTAAACTGCAGCAGAAGGTTCTGGTAGTTGTTAATCTAGATCTTGACTGTCTTGTTCCAGAAGTGTTGCATGCACATCTTTTTTGATAGATCTGGTTCATTTATATACAGTTGGTTCCTGGCCTCAGGCAAATGCACTCTGACTTTGAAAGAAGCCTCTGATCAATTAACTCTTTAATGACATGCTTGTTATGGTTAAAGAGGCAGTGGGTCTATTCTTGTTTTGTCTAGAGCTAAATAAATTAAAACTTGAAGTAACAAGGTCCCTGTGTGAGGTGCCTCCTTCCCTCCACTGACCCGCAGGACACCTTTTAGGTAGTGGTTCAGGGTCACGCAAAGTCATGGCAGGCAGGCAATTTATACAAGTGGTGAACAGCTGAAACCTGTTCAGTACTGGTTACCACTTTAAGCTGGGCATAGGATGCACAGTGGCTTGTACAACCTGCCCAGTATGGTCACTGCTCTCCTAACGAATAACAGATGTGACAGCCTGTATTCATTGTTCATGTCATAAGAGGAAAACTGAAGTACATCTTGAAGGTGGGAAAAGAGGCACAGAGAGATCTGGTTAGTTTGATGTCATGGCATGAATTGATAAAAAAAATATATGGGATAGAAGGTTGTGGATAGATAAAACTACCAACACCACACAGCATAGACTACAGTGTAAGTAAACCTGGAAACAGCAGTGACCATGCTGATAGAAAAATCAAGATACAGTCAGGTCATGTAGATTCTGTATGATAGCTTGAGCAGAAAGGCAAAGCTTACACATTTTAAATGATTTTAGATTTGAAATAATGTAAACTAATCTTTATTTCACATGTTTTTTTTTTTTGGTGAAGAGTATTTTAAGGTACATTTATTTTTTGTTACAGAGAAATCTGCTCCCCCAAGGAGTGAGAGGGGCCGTGGAGGCAACAACAGGGGTCGTGAGCCTAGGGAAATTCGTGATAATGACGGTGACCGACGCCCACCAAGGCGGCAATTCCCTAAAGAGAATAGGGAAACAAGAGTAGGAGATGAAAATGTACCCCCTGAGTTCAGGTAATTTTCGTTAGAAAAGTTCTTAGTGTAACTAACTTGGTAAATCAGACCACTGTGTGCTGATCTTGTTGGGCCTGGTAGATTTAGTATAATAAACCTCAGTATATTGTGGAGTTTGTTGATTTACGGAGTAGAGCTTAAACAAGCCAGTTACTGGTTAACAATATGAAAGTTATCCAGTCATTCAACCTGGAAAGATTAGAAACATTTAGACAAAAAAATAGAACAAATATGTGAAAAGTCTACATTTATGTATCTTTTATATGGGTGCAACGACTGGGCCACTGATACAATAGTTTATCTGTATTGAATGTAGTATATTTCCTTGTGGGTTCCTGGATGCCGTTTCGTGGGTAGATCTGCTGCCGCATGAAAGTTTTGTAAGAGTTTACTATAAGGGTGTTTCCTCTCAAGTCAGATTAGGTGAGGAACCTGCATGCAAGTAAGCCATATCTTGTAAAATGGATACAAAACTGTGGCTCAGGAACAACCTAATGGCAAGAATTGAATGAACAGCCAAAACTTTCCCTGAGTGTATAGCTAGTAAACACGACCAAGAAAAGATTGTTCTTTTTCGCTTTCTTCCTTGCATTCTTTTTTAAATATCTAACATTGAGAAAAGGTGACTTTATGTACGGTAGTTTATTGATACTTAGAATTTGATTGCTTGAGATGATGAAAAAAATTATTGTGATATCACCTGTGATTACTTTTTACCGGATACTGATCAAGCAAATCATTGGTGCAGCTATACATATTAGATAAACATAACATTAATTGACTGCTAAATAAATGTAATCACCACTAGGTCATTTAATACTATATTAAATTGTTCATTATCTAACTGATCTGACATGTTTTTTTACTCATTAGATTAGCTTATTAGCTTTTTCTTCGTAGACTATCCTTGTTTGGTCAAGTAAATATTTCAGAAAAGTATTAGTTGCAACCTCTTTTCAGGTGTAATATTTGGAGCATTAGATGACAGCTTAATATTCTAATTTATCAGTAGAAATAACAGGCGGAACTGATTATTTGGAGAGCTTTAAATGTCTGCCCGTAACTGTTATTTGTTAGAAGACATGAGCTTGGTGTATGGTGATGTCAGTCACGTTTAAGGGAAAGTCGAGATGAAAATAAAGGCTTTAATGTGTTTGCTGCAATGCATTTGTATCATTTAATTAGCAGTATTTGCATAAGAGGGCGTAAGCTTTAACATAAGATGTTTCATGTTGCATTTAATTGAAAATAAACACATCTTCCCTAAAACTCTGCTTGACATGATGAAATATTTTTGTAATATCAATTATGATTACTTTTACCGGATACTGATCAAGCAGTTACTCCTAAATAAAATTACAAGAAATAATCTAGTGCTAGAGATTGTGATTTTGATCACCAGCATAAGTTATTGGCTACAATTTGTAAATGAATTAGTATTGCTGTTAAAAATCCTTGTATGAACAATGAAGGCATTAAATTATTTGTGTTGTCATTGATTAAAACTGGTTGGACTGAAATTAAAAGTGCAATATGGCGACAGCTGTTACAATAGATATAAATTAAATACACAAATTTAATATTTTTTGTATAGTACTTTGCTTTGCTTGAACATGATGAAACATTTGTGTAATATAATTTAATGTACCGGATACTAAGCTGTTAATTAGTTTGGTGGACGGTTATTGTATTTGCTTTAGTGCATTTAAAGATCACTAAAAACATAAATTATGAGATCTTTTACATTGCATTAAATTTAATATTTCACATACGGCTTGCTTGACATGATGACAAATTTATTTAATATTAATTATGATTACAATTTACCGGATACTGATCAAGCAGTTTACTACAAGAAATAATGAAGTGTTTAAAGAATGGTGATTTTTGAGTTGCATTGGTTGCTCTCATAAATTATGTAAATAATGAAAGCATTAAATTGTGTGCATGTTATCATTGGTTAAAATGAATGAGTACAGGAGGGTAGAAGCTGCTATTAATAATCAAAATTAAGTATTTAAGAAATGTTTGGCTATCTTCCGAATAAGAGCCCCAAATTTTCGAGGCAGAAAATATACCCCAACAGGGCCTCAGTCACGTGTCAATTGCGCTCTTCCGGCGACTTTCGCCACCACAGAGAGCATGCCTACGCCACCTGTCCCCCACGCCGCGTGATTGGGAATAAACTAGATGGCTGGGACTCACGAGCAGCAGCTACCGCATTTCCTGCAGCTGCCTTCATTCTATTTGTTCGTGAGTCCTAGCCATCTAGTTTAGCCCCAATCCACGCCGCGTGGGGGACATGTGGCGTGGGCAAACACTATTTGGTGGCAGAAGTCGCGGGGAGTTTGTAATTTTGCGGCGGCAGCATAGTCCCCAGAACTACGCGGTTGACACGTGACTGAGGCGCTGTTAGGGTATATTTTCTGCCTCGATAATTTGGGTCCGTTATTTGGAAGATAGCAAAAAATTCTATATTTTCTAAAGTACTTTGCTTGACTTGATGAAACATTTGTGTAATATTAATTGTGATTACATTTACCGGATACTGATCAAGCAGTTAACTAGTTTGGTAGATGCTCACTGTTTGCTTTAGTGCATTTATAGTCATTGGTTTAGCAGCATCAAAATAAAAAGATATAAGCTATAACAAAAAAAATTTGTTTTATGTTGCATAGAAATAAAACAACGAATAACCTTGCTAGGAATGGAAGTTTAAACAGGAAGCATTATGGTAGCACTCTGGGGGTTGGGGGGGGGGGGAATTCCCCCATTGAGCAGAATTGGGCCAGTGATGACCACTTACTTGACCTGTTATAACAAACTTAAGACTTGTACAGGCTTTGACTTGGGTGGTTTACAATTTTCCACATTGGCTGTGTTTGACATGATGAAAAGTTTGTGTAATATTAATTATGATTACATTTACCGGATACTGATCAAACAATTAACTGGTTTGGTTGATGCTTATCATTGTTTTTAACCTTATATATTTTATGCACACAGACCACATTTTAAAATTCAGGTTGATATATAAACATTTTTATGAAATATACTTTTTAGGGAGCAGCCAGAGTCTGGTTTTAGGAGGCGAGAAGACTTCGGCGGTGAGAGAGGAAGGGGACGTGGACGTGGTAGGGGCCGAGGCGCTCGCGGAGGGGAAAGAGGTGGCTTTGGAGGCCAGAGAGAAGGCTTCGGTGGTGAACGGAAAAGGGAGTTTGATCGTCACAGTGGCACTGACAAAACGTATGTATTTAAAAACGTCCTGTCTCACTAAATTTTTGTAGTGTTTTTATTTATGGCAAACGAATGTTGTAGCCTTAAATGATTGCATGTTGTACCTAGTCACTTTAGCGGCCATGACATAGTTCTCACTTCTGGCAAATAGGCTTTCTTCCACTGTCTAATCTTTCTGTTTACCTTAAGTCTGATTTCCTGGTTCCTAGTCTCTCATGCTCACCACTGTGGCCGGTTTTCTCCTCTTCCCCATACATGTCCAAACCATTGTAACTGACTTATCCACTCGGTCTTTTAAAATCCTGAGTATCAAGATATTGACGTACTGTCTGATTGCAGACCTTGTCATCGCTGCAACCACCTTTCGCGTATACCTCATTTCTGAGACCTTAAGCTGGCTTCTCTAAGCTGTTGTCATTACCCATGTCTCACGGGTACATAGGTAAAACGGCAAACAGCCATTTTCATCCTTATGCGTCTTTTTGCTGAAAAACCCTCGGTTTATGACCTGGAAACAGCAACTGCTTTTTGAGAAGCCAGCTCTGTCTTAATGTCTCCACTTCAGTTTGTTATAGGTCCAAGTAAATTGAACTGGTTGAGCAGCTCCAATGCATACTGTCCCTTTGTGATCCAGTGTTTCTTCTTTTTCTGTCTTGAGATCAAATGGTTTCAGTTTTGTAGATACTGATGGTCATCCTTCTCCTCATAAGCTCTTGGATTAAGCTCTTTGTCTTCTCCTTTCAGGTCTTGATGGCATAATCCATCATAAAAATGAAGAGGTAAGGTGAGAATATCACCACTAGTGGTCTTAAATTCTGAGTTTGAGTCTGCAGTTCAACTTTTGTAGAAACTATTGCACTGATCAGGAATGCTGAGAGGTTTTCCCTGCCAAGCAGCCCCAGAGCTTGCTCAAGGGTATTTATCTAATGCCTTTTCTAGATTGATGATGATGAATTACAGGCAAAATAGTCTGGGTTAGCAAACCATGTTAAAGAGTATTTCACTGTGACCACTAGACATCCATGAAAACAGGCTCTCTAATGACACTTTCAGGTTGCAATGAATAACAAACAGTGACATAGCTCTTGCTCTCTAATGACACTTTCAGGTTGCAATGAATAACAAACAGTGACATAGTTCTTGCTCTCTAATGACACTTTCAGGTTGCAATGAATAACAAGCAGTGATAGTTCTTGCAATAAGTCGTATGTTGCATTGACTCGTGTTGCAATGAATCGTTGTCTAGGAGATGATGTGTGTAGTGAATGCTCTTAGCACACATTCTACGATGACATAACCGGGACTAGCTGACACCGACTTAGCATTACGATACAATAATTTATTGACACATCAATGTCCGGTCGTTGTCCTAAGAAACAGCTTTCACACACCACATTACAGACTCCAACGTGCTGGTTTCTCACAGTCACTGACCAAAGTTCGCACAGATGTATCTGGTTCTTCTCATCGACTTCACACAGACTGGCCTGGCATAATTCATGTGGCTTTAGTAGTTTTAAGTGTACACCTTGATAATTACTGACTTTGTTTTGCGTGTTGTCTCCACCATGCCAGAATCTTGTTAGGGGATAATGACACATGAAAGACAAGGAAAAGGTCTAGGAGAAAGACGACGTCTAAAGGAGTAAAAAGAACACGAGAGGCTATAAATGTTGAACTCAGTGCCAGAAATTGAGAATTGCATGTAATAGACCAGATTGGATGCATTGAATGTGAGCCCTATGTGACACCAAGACACAAATAACAGATCAACCATGCTTTTCTACAGCTATATGAAAAACTTTGCACTTGCAAAAAGCATTCATTAGCTGTGTGTCCTTGCATAAACCAGAACAAAAACAGGACCACACTCAGTGTCACATACTTTCTTCTGGGGCTTTAGGCGCTTTGTTAGAGGAGCTACAGTTAGGGATTTACCAGAATCCAGTGTGTTGAGCTAAAAGTACATATACGTAGCCAATTTGTAAACTAGTGCGCAAGCCATCAATTCAAGGACGAACTCAGTAGTAGTAGTACTGAATCAGTGGACGGTACTCTGGCTTCTGTATTGGTGAGGCGAAAAATAAACTGCCCACTTGAAACAGGACGCACACATTTCACGTTTCTGTCTTATTGAATAGCAGGGTGAACTGCACATACTATATGTGCACACTCAGTATCAGATATGTGTAAAGACAGATCTGATAAAATTGTTAGGGGATAATGACACATGAAAGACAAGGAAAAGGTCTAGGAGAAAGACGACGTCTAAAGGAGTAAAAAGAACACGAGAGGCTATAAATGTTGAACTCAGTGCCAGAAATTGAGAATTGCATGTAATAGACCAGATTGGATGCATTGAATGTGAGCCCTATGTGACACCAAGACACAAATAACAGATCAACCATGCTTTTCTACAGCTATATGAAAAACTTTGCACTTGCAAAAAGCATTCATTAGCTGTGTGTCCTTGCATAAACCAGAACAAAAACAGGACCACACTCAGTGTCACATACTTTCTTCTGGGGCTTTAGGCGCTTTGTTAGAGGAGCTACAGTTAGGGATTTACCAGAATCCAGTGTGTTGAGCTAAAAGTACATATACGTAGCCAATTTGTAAACTAGTGCGCAAGCCATCAATTCAAGGACGAACTCAGTAGTAGTAGTACTGAATCAGTGGACGGTACTCTGGCTTCTGTATTGGTGAGGCGAAAAATAAACTGCCCACTTGAAACAGGACGCACACATTTCACATGTTTCTGTCTTATTGAATAGCAGGGTGAACTGCACATACTATATGTGCACACTCAGTATCAGATATGTGTAAAGACAGATCTGATAAAATAAAAAGCATGATACATGTATAATTTGTTGCCATGTGAATTGCTAGTTGTCAGTAGATGGCAAGTTTTCTTTTTGTTTCAGGGGTGTAAAGCCCATTGAAAAGAGGGAAGGTGCAGGTGCTCGTAACTGGGGAAATTTCAAGGATGATCTTGAGTAAGATTTTTTTTTTTTACAAGGGAGGCCGTTGCTATGTTAGAGTAAATCCTTGCTTGATATGATGAAACCACTCCGTATTACAAATTATGATTACCTTTACCGGATACTGATCAAGCTTTCACCAATATAGCTGTTATATATAGTGTTACAAGCACTTTTTTTGAAAAAGTAATTTTCATTTTACATTTTTACTATGAGCCTGTTATAAAGTGGTTAGTTGTTATGCTGTTGCTTGTATTTTTAAAGTCGTGTGATTAGCTTTGTTTTGGTCCTAATGCTGACATATTTTTTCTTCTTCAGGGAGCAGACCACACCTGCGGAATCAAACGACTGGGCAAATCAAACTGAGGTCACTGCAGACAATCCTGAAGTAACGTATGTACATTTCTGAAGCTTTTTTTTTTTTCAGTTAAACTGGGTTTTTAGCTATATTATTAGAAGTGGTAGTGTGTGTAGTTAAAAAAAGGGGGGGGGCAGTCATTTGTGGATTGTGGTAACCAGGACATCCAAGAGGATGTCTTTAAAAAAAGGACATTAGATAGAGGCTGTCAGTAATGACAGGCATTATTCCCTACACAGTGTTGACAAGATTTCACAGGATGGAACTGAATGGAAGAATCAGCTTTCTAGTGTATGAATGACAAAATGTTGTGGAGCTTTGAAATATGACATTACCAACCTGTATGTTTTTTTTGTGTGTACACCTTTCTTCTGGGACCCAGTTATGGTGGAATAAACTCATTGCTCCCCAACAAACATGTCATAAAAGGCTACTGGGAAGACTAACTCAGACAAGAAAGGTCTGCAGAAGTCGAGTGTGGGCTAAAAGGCTCAAATAACACAGCCACATTGTAAATGTGCACAATGCATTAACGTATTTGAATGCAGGAGGATGCTGATGATGCAATGGGTTGTTTTTGTTCTGTCTGTCTTGGTCATTCCCTTGGAGAGCATGGGAAATTTGATGCAAATAGTTTTACAATATTTTACCTCAGAATCTTTAGTTTTGCTGATTCTGTAAAACCCATATACTAAACCAATCTAGAGACCCTTTCCACATTTTTTCATGAGTTTTATATTTTAAACCACTTGGTGGGTGATACGACCAAAATCTTGAACAGGCTTTCTTCACTTCACAGCACTATATAGCTAGTACCCATTTATGTCTGGGCAGATGTTTGAACCGAATAAATTTCCGGGGAAAGTGCAGCTCCAAGTGAAATTGGCAGAGAATGTGTAAGCATGTTAGTGATTATTTTTCAGTGAAAGTGCGGAGAATGTGTAGGACTTTTATTGTAAGCGCATATAAACATGATTTTGATTGTTACAGTGAAAGTGCTGAGAGTGTGCAGCCTCAGCCTGAAGAGGAGGCTCAGCCTCATGAGATGACTCTGGACGAGTGGAAGGCACTTCAGAATCAGACCAAGCCAAAGGCATCCTTCAACATCCGTCAAGCTGGTGAGGGAGAGGATGGTGCAAGGTGGTCTAATGGAAGGGAGTACCACAAGAAGCATGAGGATGAAGATGATGAGGAAGAGGAGGAGGAATCTGATGAAGATGATGAGGTAATGTTTTCGTCCTTGTAAACTTTCTTGCTACTGAATTAACAGTGTGATTAATGTAGTTTAAATTAATGGCTGGCACATCTTGTTAAATATGTAGAAGATATCTGGTTCATGGCCTACACAGAAAGTGACACCTGTGTGGCTCGTTACAAAAAGTTATGCATAGTATGACAGATTTAATAACATTGCAGCTGAAGTCACGAACCTAACAAAAAAAAATAAGTATTAGCGCCGTTTTGTAATTGGTGCTCCTAAAACTAATGCTTAAACATGTATACTTTGTACAACTTGAATACTAGTTTTAGTGAATGTTGAAAGATGTCAGTTTTTAGTAAACCTATCTTTAACACTACCAGACCTAAGGCCCTGAGCCCAACTGTCCCTATAACCTGAGCTCCTGAGCAACCGCGAAAAAACCAACCTGATATACAAAAATATTAGTTACATGCAAACAAGTGGCTAGAATATGATGACACTTGGAGACATTGTAGAAAATAGGCTTACCTTTTATCTAGCGCCAATATTCCACCTTTGTGTGCTAATTCACTCATCAGGATCAACTTTGTATCACAAAGTGAACACCAGATTTTGCCGTTTAATGGACACACCCCTCCTCCTACTATCGATCTATTTCAAGATTGATAATTTTCAAGATTTTCCTAATTATTTGCGCTCTCACTGACAGTGTCATTTCAAGAACGTATTCTTTATGAAATTATCACAGATAATGAATGTGATATATATATATATATATATATATATATATATATATATATATATATATATATATATATATATATATATATATATATATATATATATATATATGTGTGTATATATGTGTATATATGTGTATGTAAATATATATACGTATATATATATATATGTATGTATATATATATGTATATGTGTATGTATATATATATATATATATATATATATATATATATGTGTGTGTATATATGTGTATGTGGCACAGTCGTGCCTATACATCCCCCAAGAAATAGATGTGCCTAAGTCGGCCAAGTGAATAAATATAGTTCGTATCTCTCTTCAATCGTACTCAAGAACAAGGCCAGTGATGTAACAATTACACAAGAGCTGTTTATTTACAATATTCCAGTCATAGAGGCTTTATAAATTCAATAGTATATGAACACTGTATTATCTGGATACAGGCTATTCGTATGACTCTCTACGAGTTCCTTAACCACTGTTCTAGCTAAACTCCAAGTTTAACATATACCTTCTAAACGAAGTAAATCACTAGTTTTCTCCTAACCGGTCTTTCCAGCGGTTCAGCCCTAACCCTCTTACTTCTAATCTGTTTGTCTCATCATCAGCAGCGCACGCGCTTTTATTACCTGTCTGCCAAACCCCGTTAAAGTTACTGACCTCGCGATTATTTCCTAAGTTTTGCAATCTTATATTCTTATTGTAGCCTAATTTTCTGAACCTGTCTCTTTTGAATTTGTTGGTTTGATTAGTGCTCATCATGCGGAATCTGGGATCTGAATTACATGACCTAACTCGACCTCGGTTATTCTCCTGGATATTTCCTACTCTATTAATGTTCTGATATCTGTTACCAAAATTACGCCACTGCTCCTGTGCTCTGATATTTGTTATTTTCTAATTTTTGTAAACGCGCAGCTCTGTTAAAGTTAATTATTTGCCCACTTCCGTTTTGTACACATGACCTCAGTTGACCCTGAATGTCATGGTATGGATTCGGTCTCTGTGGTCTGAAACTCTGCTTATCTATATTGTAGTGTGCTCTCTCGTTATCATATCTTCGCCTACCGGGGAAAAAGGTAAATCGATTAGCATCGACTTTATGTGTAGTCACAGTTGCTATTTTATAGCTATTCCTTCCTTTCGGTGCCTCTCCCGTTGAACTTGTTACCTCTAGAATATCTCTATCTACGTTAGCTACAATATTTCCTTTCTTCAATTTGACGGTTTTCCCTGTCGCGTTTGTGATAAGGACCGGAAAACAAAGTCTTTTACCTAACGTTACAATGCCATCTGTAGTTGATAAGCACGGTTCGTTTAACAGTGCTTCCTGAAGCGCTGTTGTTCGAATAGTTTGACCTGGCAGGAAATATGGGTTTCTTTTTAAACCCGACATCACTACGTTGATTGAATTAGGTTTTAGGATGACTGTTTGTTTAGCACGTACCACCGAAGCAACGTGAATGTCATCTCTAAGATCTACGTACCTATCTCTAATTCTAAGCTTTTTAAGGTCAAAATATAGCCTTATGCCATGTTTAACTAATATGTCCCGTCCTATAATTAAATGACGGTTCATTGTTTTTACTATGATAAAAGTATGTGTCATATGTATACCACCGATGGAAAACGGAATCATGGCTTTACCTAAAACTGATAGGCTGGCTCCGGTGACAGACTGTAAGTTCTCTTTTGTGTGATGTAACTCTATACTACCTTTAATCCTCTTAAATACCGAGTAATTTAGAAGTGACAAATCTGCTCCTGAATCCACCAGACTATTAAACTTATTATTGTTGATTTCTATTAAACAGCAACACGGGCTGCCTGATGCATTAATCTGTCTATGGTTTGTAACTCTCTTCTGCCTATTTATTTCGTTATCTCTCTTGTGTCTTACTGAACTTTTAGAGGCTATGTCTCGTCCGTCGCTCAGCTGTGCCCCGGCCAGCGAGCGGATTGCGCGTTTCCCGAATAATGGTTTCTCCAGCCGCCGTTATTTTGTGTGTTAAGTCCCTGACTTCTGCGACTGACCTGCCACGACCTTTCACCTCTGAAATCTGTGTTAACAAGCGGTCGGTTTATCGGCTGTGTTGTGGGTCGGTTACCTGCCGGGCAAAATCGGACTTTATGGGGACCTGAACAGTTATAACACGTTAAAGTGTGTTGCACTGCCTGTATGTTAGAGTGTCTGTGTCTCTCATTTGTGTGTCTTTCTCTGTGTGGTCTAAAATGTGATATGTCCATGGGTTCCGTCAACCTAATATCTTCTTCTTCTGTTCTTCGTCCAGTTTGAAGGAACACTTTTCGTCTTAAACTCTCTTCTTTAAGAGTTATGGCTACTGCCTGTTCTAGAGTTGTTGGCCCAGAACGCAATAAACGAAGTTTTTGTGAACAGTCCCTTAAACTGTCACTGAAGACTGAAACTAAAATAAGCTGAGTTTGTTGTGATTGTATCTCTTCTTTAAGAAATGCATCTTGCGCGAGACTCTGTATTCTCTGCGAATAATTCTGTACGCTCTCATCTTTGCCCTGTTTGATCTGTCGTAAGAGGGAAAAGGCCATCTGTCTGTCTGTGACATCGCTGAAATTTTGTGCTAAGTCTCTTTTCAGTTCTTCCCATGTTTCTTCTTCATTCTGCTCTAATCTTCTTCTTATGTGTTCTGAAACCGGGGAAGAACTCATCTGGTATGCTAAACGTTTGATGTCGAAACTTGTCGCACCTGAAAGGAAAGCATACTTTTCTATCTCGTTTACCCACTTTTTAAACTTTTTTGTTTCTCCCCTGAAAGGTTCAATAACCCCTGTTATTCCCTGTCTCCGAACGCTACAATCTAATCTGGAGACAGCCTTGCTGACTTCTCCTAAAACTCTGCTGAACTGGGCTTCTACTGTTCCCTGTTCTGCCATTTTTAAAAAATCTGGGAAATTAATCTAATGCAAGTAAATTAAAATTGAAAAAACAGAAAATGTCAAATTACCTTGTTGAGTGCGGTCTGAAAAAAAAATTCTCTTTTCACAACACACTGTAATTAAAAATCGGCACTGTCCTGGAATTATTTTCTAAGTTAATAGGAAAGGTAGGGAAAGATAAGAAAAGGTTTTCCCTACACCACTGAAAATTGAAAATCACAATATATTTAAACTAATTAATGTTAATGTTCAAGGTTCTTTAAAATCGCGCTTATTTTGCAGTTCCTATTTGTAAAATCGGACAGCTCACAGTTCTTGACTTTCCTATAATCTTCCGAGTGTGTAAAGTTAGGAAAAGTTTATATTATGGCTCCAGACTAGAACGGGCGCGTCCCCCTGATTCTAGTGTAGACGGTTTGCTCCGGGCTAGAACGGGCGTGTCCCCCTGATTCTAGTGTAGACGGTTTGCTCCGGGCTAGAATGGGTGTGTCCCCCTGATTCTAGTGTAGACGGTTTACTCCAGGCTAGAACGGGCGTGTCCCCCTGATTCTAGTGTAGACGGTTGGCTCCAAAAGGTGGTGCAGGCTGTTGGTCTGGTTTACGTCTCTCCAATCTGATGAAGGGTTTGTCGAATGTTTTTTTTTTTCCTCAGCAGGTACTATCATCAACGTGCTTTTAGTTCACGTTTTGTTGCGGTAGCTTATTTGGTATTTTGTTACAGCAGTCTTGACTGTTAAAGATGTCGATGTCAACAAGACTGATCGTTGGTCACGGCACCAAATATCCTCATCGCTTGTGGCACAGTCGTACCTATACATCCCCCAAGAAATAGATGTGCCTAAGTCGGCCAAGTGAATGAATATAGTTCGTATCTCTCTTCAATCGTACTCAAGAACAAGGCCAGTGATGTAACAATTACACAAGAGCTGTTTATTTACAATATTCCAGTCATAGAGGCTTTATAAATTCAATAGTATATGAACACTGTATTATCTGGATACAGGCTATTCGTATGACTCTCTACGAGTTCCTTAACCACTGTTCTAGCTAAACTCCAAGTTTAACATATACCTTCTAAACGAAGTAAATCACTAGTTTTCTCCTAACCGGTCTTTCCAGCGGTTCAGCCCTAACCTGTCCTATCAAGCGGTTCCGTGGCTAACTGTCCTCTCCAGCGGTTCCGGGACTAACTTTATTCCCCCGCTTTCCCGCCTTTCTCGCGTACCCTCTCCATCACTTCTCTGTCACCTGTCTTTGGTGGTCACGTCTGGATGAACGTATCTCACAGTTCACGGGCACTCGTCGAATGTTTCATCCCTCAGTGTCAGATGTCATGGCGGTGTGTTCTGCATAGCTGGCTAGGCCATGGCTTTCTAATCACCTATTTCTGTCATTTCACACAGTGATGGATTAGTACGCTGTGTGGTGGTCTGAAATGTATGCTTGTTCATTTAACCCCTTTTCTGCCTATATTTCGTTACATATATATGTATATATATATGTATATATATATGTATATGTATATATGTATATATATATATAGTCTGAATAAACCAAAGTATCGATCACCTGTTGGACTGTGAAAAGCCTAGAACTTGGTTCATCAGCCGCTTGCTTCATTCTGAATTTTCCAAATTTTTTTAACGTTGTGACACAAAATTGATTCACACACACGGTGAAGCCATTTGCAATCTCTAACAAAGCAGACTGACGACGATTGGTTGGTTTTTTTTAGTCAGTGACGCATCTTTTTCACGCACTATGCAAATAGCCTAAATTTAGGGCCAGCGGTATACAGAACAGTTATGAAATTCCTGGGAAAACGGAAGAGCGGTCTGGTAGGGTTAATGCAGTACTGGCAACGCCAGATTTTTCAAATTTGTGATTAAGAACATCTGTAAGATCCATTCTTTTCTGTCATTTCTACAATAGGATCATCACAGCCGCGGCAAGCACTTGTTGACAGACATCCGCATCACCTTCAATGACAACCCACGCAGAGGGCGGGGCCGGCGAGGCGCCAGGGGTGGTATTGAACGCGGTGGCAGCCGTGGTGGAACCAGAGGAGTAGGCAGCAAGCCAAGAGAGTCTGCACCTCGCTTTGATGACGAAGTGGACTTCCCATCTCTCGTCAAGTCAGCAGCCTAAGCTTGCTGTTAGCATTTGGTGCCCAGTGTCATTCTGGGCTCAACCTATTCTGAATTGTCCTGTCTTCGATATACCAGGATGTGATCACAGAGATGTCAGCTTCTCCAGCAGTCTCTGGTTCATCAAAAACTTTGTATATAAAAGACTCTATAGGTGGTGTTCTTTCCTTGTTGACACTTGCAGACTGTTTTACATTTAACTGGCTAAATGTACGGATTCTATAAATCGTGTTCTTTTTATTCTAACTTTATACTGGTTAGTGTTAGGTTCTTGCTGCTTGTAGGCATATCCATGAAAGATTTTTGTATGACATTTGTATACATCATCGCCTCATTATTTCATCACACAAAATTGTTCATGCCATATTCATTAAAGTGCTGTTTGTTCAAAGTGAAGCTTGTACGGAAGGCATTTTTTTTTGTTCCAGTCAAAGGCTTTCATGTTGGTTTTTTTTTAAGATTCTGTTATGACAGATAAGGCATGTTGATTTCTATTATTCTTTAAGTGTGGGGTGTTGATATACGAACTAACCCTTGACACTTTTTTAAAAAACTGTCATGGTTACTTTTAATCTGCTGACTGCAGTATGTGAATCGTTTTGTTGCAGGGTCTTTTTTTTGGTCATGTGTGTGTTTCTCTCTCTTTTTTTTTTGGCGTAAGTATACCATACATGAAGTGTCTGTAGTTTTGTTCACGCAGTGCAAAGATTTAACAATCCCTGTGTATTTTGGAAGAGAAATTAAATTATCCCTTTTTTAAAAACGCTTGTTGACATTCAGGTATGAACATGACTTTTGACACCAATGTGCTGTATAGTAGTCTTTTGTTTTTACCTCTTACTTCCAAGCATTGTATGGCTGTTTGTGGTGAATCCAACTTATTATAACACTGGTATTTACAGATCTTTTGTCTTTATTGCCCATGTTTTCTCTCTTTACATTTGGTCACACAGAAAAGGTAACTTCCCTTGAAGCTGTTATCAGCTGTGATATTTAACATATTGAGCAGATGCTGCAAAACTGGTGTTGACGGCTTAAGCATTGAAGCACCTGATTTTGTATCTTAACTTATTGGGAGCACCTGAAGTGCCTTATTGTGAGTTTTAAGAGAGGATCCAACTGTCCACATCCTGATTCAACAAAGATAATGTACATTTTCACACCTACGGCAGCATATTTATGCTGTGGTTAGGCAGCAACAAGCAATCTTTGTGCTTTCTAGAGTAATTTAGTTTGCTTTTATTACAAGAGGCCCTTTTGTTTAGGTCAGGGGTAAGATATTAACCTTATCTGTTTAGGAAATATGTTTAAGGAAACAACTGTCACTCAGTTCTTGTAAGCATCTGATTTGGCAGTTTACGTTGACACAAACCTATTGACCTAAAGACTGCTGTATATAGCCTATATGTTTACATTTGTTGGTAAATTCAGGGAAATCTGTCGTGAACTAGTTTGCATTGAAGGAAAACCATTGCTGTAGATAGATCAGTTCTCAGTGTCCTGCTAGTTCAGAGATGTTTAAGGGTTTAATTATATAATAATATACCCTGGCGAGTGAGAAGCGTTGGGAAAGAAACTAATTTTAAAAATTGGGAATATGCTCTGTGCTTTTGTACAAGTTGCTTTTTTCAATGCAGTCTGATGACACGAAATATATGGTCTGTTGGCTGTTCAGAAACCAGGGTTTTGTTTAAAAAAGTTTTTCAGTTGAATTTTAAAAGAAAGATGAAAGGTGTTTAGGAACTGTAGCTTGCAGTCTTTTTGATATTGTTGGTGCAGACTGCATTTGGCATAAATAGGAGATAGTTTCACCTCTGTTTATTCATATACACCACACGGTGCACGTGAAAACACTGCAGTTGTGGCAAAACGAATTCTGTATATGTGCATTAAATATGCCTAGTCGTCCACTTGCATTTTATTATGGAAAGAATCAAGTTTTGAAAGCCGGATGTTGCACACCTACCACCAACTCTGCGGCAGCATTTAGCTTAGACATAGATAACGTATGAAAATCTGATTTTTACCTCATTGGTCACATGCCAGCGCCTATGTGAAGTACATATGACCGTAAATACCCTTATTGACTGGTAAATGGTGAAAGAACACTTCTGCTTGTGAATTATGTTCTTTAATGTTTTTCTATTATAATGGGAAAAGAATACTTGTTTTGTTTGTTTGTTGTGACTATTCAGTCTAGGACATCTAAAATATTGCTAATTGTTTTGGTCAGGTCAGTGACTAGCAATAACAGTTTTCATTAAACACTGGTCCAGCTTATTTTCTAATTAGTTTCTGGGCTGTTGGTTGGCATTCAGAGATAAGATGTAAAAAAAAAACACTCGTAACACATTACAAGATATCAACAAAATGAAAAAAATATATAAATTGATAGTGCACACAACACTCAAGGCTGGTCACACCTCTTCTTTTACTGGCAATAAACCTATTTATGAAGACAGTGACCACTTCTAATGGCAGGAATGGAATTCAGTGGACTCCTACAAGATAGCTTGATGATCTGGACTTTGCTGATATTTCTGTTCCACTCACGGAAACAAATTCAAGATAAGTTGAATATGCTGGATACGAGATAACAGTTGGGTCTTAAAAATATGTAATGTAAAAACAAATCAGGCAAGTAATGTGGTTTCTTTTAAATGTTATCCTACTGCAAGATATGGAGTCAGACACTCATGTATTCGGGCAGTGATGTAAAGATCGGGAGCTGATAAAAGATATTAAAATATGAATGCAAGAGGAGCTTTCATTGCACTAGGAACAGAATAAATTAAAACTAACACTAAACTTCATGATGTCCGATCTGTACTGTTGAAAGCAACTAAATCAATTGCTGAAAAAAGCTACATTAATTTGTACTTGCGCAGAATAGATGGGATGGAATCAAATGATATAGAAGCACTAATGTTAAGCTTTTGGAGAGAACAAGTGAAGAAAAGACGCCTGCGTTGATATAGGGCACCACAAGCACAGAAAACCTGAGAACTTTGTACTGGAACAAAGAAAGCTCTAGAGCAAGGAAGAAAAAAAAAGATGGGAAAGCTGCATACAATTAAGAGGCGAGGAACCAGCAATCTGCTTACAATCAAATCTGTGAAACAGAAGGGCACGCACTTCAAGTTCTGGAACAAGACCCCCAAAGTAAGTAAAGGACCCTTTTCCCAAACCTTTGGACATGTAGCGCTAGACCTATATTTTTAAAGACCTCTCGGCACAAGATGGGTGATGTCAGCATCATGCCGGCCGCCTTTACTTCCCGGGATTGCACCCGGTACTCACTCAAGGCTGCTTCTACCTGCGAACAACTAAAGCTTTCAGTCGTACTTTACTAGTGAACGGGAAGAAGAATTGAGATTTTGATCGTCTCACCCAGGTTTATAGATGTTATCTGGTCTGTCCAAGTGCTTATGCCATGGCTGTTCGACGACGTTTCATCGTCTGTTTAATCCACGGCTTAACATGGCACACGGGTGTAACCCACAAGTGCTCTGTTATACTTCTGACTCGTCTGAATTTCAGCGCAGTACACCAACTCCGTTGCCCAGGCGAGGATCCTGAAATACCATAACTCCAAATTTTGTCCGGGCAGCGCCGTTAGGCTACTCTTTTCGATTTCCAACACTTGGATTTTTTTAAAACCTGCGCACCAATACACACGGGCCTACGATCTTACTACCCAAAAACTAGTGGAAATTATGAGTCCACGTAAAAAATAAAATCCAAGCCATCACCGGGGTTTTAACTCGGGACCTCCAGCAGTTGAGGCGGACACCATACATACCTCGAGACCAGTCAGCATCAAATGGCTGGCCGATTGGCGTGTGCGATCTGCCACTGCGTGTATCAGTTCGTGTGTTGACACCCTGCCATGACAGTCTTCCTCTGTCTCGCTTTTCAGTGGTCACAACGTGTTCTATTTTCCGTCTTCTCATAACACGACACGAAAATGATGACTCTTTAAATTTTGGGGTAAGTTGTGATTCACGCCTTTAAAACGGTCAACTACATTTAGTCGCGCTGAAGTTTTGAAAATGGCTATCATCAGAGGCCTGAGTCCCAGGCTAGACACATCATTGATGCAATGCAACTGGGAATGATCAGCGGGCTGCCGGTTGAATAGCACTAGCTTACGCTGTGCACTGGTTAATGGTGTTCAGTCATTTCAACTCAACGGGTACCACGTAACGCCCCGTGCTTTTCTTGGTCACCCCAAAGACGATATACCATTTTTGTGTTATCCTGTGACAGACAAAGGCAACCTCAACACAATGTATCTGATTTGTAAGTTTACAGTCTTCTGTCTCACAGCGTATCTTGTGTAATTTCCTCAGACCTAAACATTTTATGCTTTCAAGGATATCATCTTAGAACAAGTTAAAATAACATCTGTCTGGGACTGGAAAGTTATCAGTACTGTGCATATTTTTGCAGCTGTGCTCTCATCAGTTTTAACGGGTTTTGAGCGGTCGTGGATTATCCTTACTTACCTGTGCAACTTGTGGATGTAAGTCAAATAGACAACATTTTCAAAACTTGAACGTTTCTCTCTGGCCGGTAGGGCCGCATCAGAACTTACAATGTGGGCGTGGCTGTCAACTGTCTGTCAGTCACTGGATGCAGGGTCAAAAGTGAACAATTGGGCTGAGTCAAGGAATTGGATGAGTTACCAGGTGATATGTTATTTATAAGTGGGGATTTTAACACTATGAACAGAGAATGGGACAGCAGTGGAGAAAACCGACAGGGAATTGCTCTTGCAGAGGCCATGGTTGACTCCGATATGGTCTGCATCAATGATGGGATGCCGACTAAAATCGCAATGGGGTCTGGAGATAGTCACAGCCATTGACTTGACATTTGTCTCTCAGTCGTCGGTTTTAGATGTTAAATGGACTGTCCTGAATGACCATGGGAGTGATCACCTACCATGTTCAGTCTTGATTTCTAAACTCAGTAAGGTTAAGGTTGGGAGAGCATGCA